GTTTATTTTTTTAAATGATAGACCCAGGCATTAAAAACTATATGGTTTGCTAGAGTAGTTACCGAAATAGCAATTAGTATTAGTTCTTTTACCTGTTATAACTTCGATATCCGATAAATCGGTATAAAATCATCACCGGCACCTCTAGGTGTGGTATGCGTCTACGGCTGCATGTATCGCGTTAGCGGTTACTCACCAATTTTATTAGAGTCCCAATTTCATTATATGTTTTTGTTTTCCTACAGTGCAAACTGTAGTAAAAGTAGGCCACAAAATTTTATAATAAGCTTACTTTAAGCTTACATTGAAATAAGATTGTTTTTGGAAAGGTTACCTCTACAGGAACCTCTACATGGCAGACCAGCATTGTAACCATTTTGTCATGGAGGCAATTAATTTCGAACATTGAGTATAATAAAAAAGAAGCACAAGAATCAGAACATAAATGACGGCTGGTACTTAAAAAAACCCGTACAATAAGTACCCGCAAAACCATCTGATTATAATTCACTTAAGCATAATGGAGATTTTAAGTCGCAATTTATTAAAAATGTTTCGAATTCCATAATAGATTTTCAACATTGCAAATTTCTTGTCGAGATTTTGTACAGGAAATTTGATTTCAGAGATATTTAATGGGTTGCTGTAAACTTGGATATTTCAAAGGCTTTTGCTTATCGTAACATTATCGCAACTTAATAATTTACACAGTGACGGCTTTTAGCAAAAAAGCGCGCTTGAATAATTTGAGAAAGAATTCGTGGACTCGGAAAATTTAAGTTTATTCCCTTTGTTCTTGTTAAGGTATAATGCTGCTCATTATTGCTTGGGGTTTTTCTGATGGACTGATTTCCTAATTAAGTCATATGTCGAAGAACTAAAGTGACCAACATAGCTTGCAAAATCTGTAAACTTTAAGTGGCAGTTGACTGTACATGTCTGGAGGAAGGTTGACGGCCGATGAAGCAGGCTTGTTCTAGAGTTGGGTCTCCACCTTGGGAACTTGAGGCGGAGATACTGACAGATGTTTGTCGGCAGCGCACAGAGTATAAGCGCTTGGGACAATGGCCAACTCCGGAGGAGACCAGTAAGAGAAAACTCGCGTGCGACACTTCTTCGGAAATGGAAGGAGAGACTAGTACAACCAAGTGCTGGCCATCGAACAGTGGAAGCGGTTGGACCTGTTTTGGAGAAATAGGTTGGAAGAGAGCATGAATCACTTTCCTTCCGATTTGTACAGTTCAATGGTAAGGCCCCTGGGGTCTTGCCATTCATCAATTTGCCTCTTCAAATTGACGTACAGAGACTACCAGTTTTTCTGCCCTATGTACAAGGGATGACAGATAAAATAGCCAGCTTGCTAAGGAAGTTTTCCATAAAAACTGTTTTCACCCCCTTAACCAAAATAGGAAAAATGTTACGTTCACCAAAAGACCACCTTCCTTTACAAAGACCAGGTGCCTATAAAGTGAACTGCAGTTGTGGGAGCTCATATATCGGTCAGACTAAACGAACAATTGTTGATCGTATGAAGGAACACATCCGAGCAGTAAAAAACAATGATGCACAGAAGTCGGCTATAGCACGACATCTCACACAGACTGACACTAACCACTGGATCGAGTTGCATAGCCCCCAGGTACTCTCGACAGAACGTCACTACATACCACGATTGGTACGAGAAGCCATCGAGATCAGGAAGTACAAAACATTTAACCGTCATGATGGTTTTAAACTGTCCAGTGCATGCAATCCGGTCCTTAGTGCGTGCAGTAATAAAAACAAAAACACCTCGAGTTCAGTTTCGCTTGTGGATACAGTGAGTGTGGTTTGTGTGAAAAAACTGAGTGACAATGGTAATGCCACAACAAATGGCGATGAAGGTAGTCGTCGACAGCGCAAGAGGGTAGACACATATGTCTGCTCTTAAAGCTGTGATCTGCTATGTGATATGCCATCCAACCAACCCGTGACCATGGAGCATGCAACCGTTCCGAAATATCGGCAAATTAAAAAAAAAGTCATACCATGGTAAGAAACCTGAAATTAGTGATAATCATTTAGTGAATAACCACGAAAGTCTTAAAATCATTCATGGTAAGGCCCCAGGTCCTTTTTGGGCACTGTTATATCCGAAATTACGTGGGTTAAAATATAAAATAAAATCGCTGAGTTTCCCATTGCATTTACGTCAATGCAATAGGAAACCGAAAACGCGTGCAACCGGGCATGCGCGGAGCAGGCAGTTCGGATTGGATTTGCATGAGGCACAGACCTCTTTTTGAGAATAAAACAGCACGGATACTTCGGGAGGTATCTGTGCAATGTTGTTGGGAGTGAGCCTACTACAGCGTGTCACCACTGTGGCTGCGACGAGGATACGGCGCAACACACGCTCGCCGAAACTCCAGCGTGGGGTGAAGAGAGTGCAACCTTGGTCTAAGTGGTTGAGAGAGACCTGTCGCTGCCGACCGTAGTCAAATCTATGGTTGACAACGACAGAGCATGGAAAGCAATTTCCACATTTTGCAAAATTATATATCATTACAGCAATGATAGGCGCGAAAGAAACCGGAGCAGATGAGAGAAGACGATGTGTTCTCTCATCCGACCCGTCGTAAAAGGAGTAGGCGCAGGCAGCAGGCACATGTCTGCATCATTTCTCCATAACGAGGGCCTCCGAGCATTGGATGCAGGGACATTCGATGCTCGAACACATGCAGGTCCTCGAGCCTGGATGACGGGCAGTGTGTTTCGGTACGTAATCAGCATAGGACGTAGAGGGAGACAGTCGTTGTAGTGCCTCCCATGCTGGTGCCGGAGACGGCGGTCGCTAGTGGATTCGACGAGACGAGGGACGAGGCGAAACTCTGTCAGGTTTTAGTCGGTACGAGTCCAACATAACCCTTCGTCTCCCCAGACGGAGGGTACCCGTGAGGGTTACCTGACGTAAAAAACCTTGTTCTAGAGTGGAGACCACATTAAGGCAAACGTACTGTAGGACACCCTGCGACATTATTTATGATCGACCTGTGAACAGCGTGCGGTTAGATATTAATGTGGTGGTAGTGCTTGTCTGTCAATGTGTGTGTGCGGTGTCATATGCAGCATGTACCAACCGCCTGCTATGCATGAAATTATGGTAAAGTGAAGATAAAAATATAAACAACCCTCTTAAACCTAACGGTGAGACATAAAGGGCGGTTTGGTCGCTGACTGATTATTATATGGTGTGAAAACACGATTCCTAAAAATTTTCATGCTAGAAAAATAACACAAATTTACCTCAAAATTTTACAAGAAAACCGCTGTATTCAATATATACTTTATGTATACCAAAGATTTTTTTTATCAACTGAACTATATAGAACACGTACACTGCTCGATATACATTTTTCAAATGGCTTTAATTTCGTTTGTAAAAAATTTAATTTAATTTTTTTATTTTATTTTATATTATTTATTTTATAGTCAACCGTGACTGTGGAACCTGTAAAGGGCCCGAAACGTTGGTTTGTTTGAAAAAAAACAAATACATAATTCCGGATTTAAATCGCGTACGATTTAAATCCGGAAACTGTCATTTCCTAAATGTAATTTTAATTAACTCTTAAATGTAGAAGCCCCTGTGAAGGTTCTGTGAATCGGTTGGATACGAGCTACAACACCGATCGTTGTGGCATTCTTTGGGGGGCCTATGTCATCACTACCTAGTCATTATCCGTCCAAGTTTATCATTACCTAATAATTAAGTATATTTACTACGTAATATTTATCGGCAATACAAATTGAAAATTCAAGAACCTGTGTCTACTAGCTCACGTAGTTATGGCATCAAGTAAGTAAATTATGGTGCTCTCCAGCAAATAAATGAAGAAAACAATAACTGAACTGAATGAGTCTCATTAAGTTTTTGTCATGTTCGTTTCATCTTTCGGAAAACGAAAGAAACTCCTCTCATTATCCCGTTTTGATGATAATAAACGGCTGTACACAGCACAATTCACGAACATTACAAATAGTAACGTACAATGATGTTATATATTAAAGTACAAGTTTCATAATGAATAAATGAAAAATATTCAAATATCAAAACCGTCATAGCGCGAAAACGGCTCGCCGACAGCCTTGTTGTCGCACAGTGGATGTGACCGTCAATGTGTGGAGCGTGGCGCGGTATCTAAATCTAGGGAGGGGCGGAGCGTGTCCATACTCGTTACTTTTTTGTTCTCTGGTAAGGTTGTCAAAATATTGTTTTAGTTATACCTTCAATTTGTAAACGTAATTTGAAAAATATAAGGTGTTCATCACAGTATTTTCCTATAATATAGAAATATCCTTAATCAAATGCAATAAAACTTTTTCATCAAACTACTTTGGTGGGCTGTTAGCACTGTGGACATTACTTACGAAGGTCCCAGTTTCAACTGCCATGCCGGTGAGATCCAGTTACGAAACAAACTTAGTAAATCAGTTCTGAGTAGTTGATAGCTCCACCGAAGTTAAATTTGTTGTTATGCCACTCCCTTTTAGGGCTCTTACTTTGAGACTATGTAATTAATGTGAAGATTCTGGCATCTATTGTTATTTATATCACAAAGTTTATACAGGAGGGTGGCTGGATCTTCAAAACGATTATGATTTTCAAAGTCATAGGCATGAACTTAATTCAAATTTCTGCACCGACGAAGCGGGTATTAAGATGGACCAACACAATGAATAATAACCTATTTTTTTTATAAGTTTTCACCCATTTATTTGGGTAGGCAAAGGTTCTACTTTACAGCCTTTCCATATATTAGTATATTTTCCTTGTTTTGTAACCTATAGCACACCCCGGACACTCCATACAAAGTTCGAAAATAATTTACCTACTACTACATACAGCAAGGCGCTATCTGCACACGCGCAAACTACTACTATTTATTACGTTACGTGGTCAGATATTTACAGTATTTCTATTATAGAATCCTAATAAATACACACGTTCATTACGTATTATGTTCATCGATCTGTCAGGGGATCAAGGCAGAGCCACTCCAACCAAGAGATACAACACGGAGGCTTTACCTCAAATACTACCGTGCGAAGTTGCTAAAGCTCTTTATTACATGAAGGCAGAAAAGTCTCCTGGCGAGGACAGGATCACAGTTGAACTTCTTTGTGCTGAGGGAAAGCCAGTACTCTTGAACCTTAATAATCTTTTTAACAAAGTCTTACAAGAAACTCGAACACAAAGACAATGGAAGAACGCGTTAGTCAAAAATTTTACAAAAAAAAAAGGGGGATATAACCAAATTGAGTAACTACCGCCCTATTAGTTTATTGTCCCAAATTTACAAACTGTTTTCAAAATTAGTAACAAACCGCATCACTCGTCAACTTGATGAATGCCAGCCTATCGAACAGGCCGGCTTTCGAAGTGGCTTCTCCACCACAGACCACATCCAGACGGTGAAACAGTTGATGGAGAAGTATCACGAGTACAACGGACCCATTGTCATGACTTTCGTTGATTATGAACAGGCCTTCGACAGTGTCGAACATTTCGCTGTGTTCCACGCTCTCTATCGCACTGTAACATCGACTCTCGCTACATAGATGTACTTCGGGAGCTGTATTCATCTTAAACTCTACAGGTTCGAATGCATGAACTAACCAACCCTGTACCAATCAAAAGGGGAGTGTGGCAGGGAGACATAATTTCGCCAAAACTGTTTACTTCTGTCCTACAAGACGTAGTAAAAACACTTCATTGGACGAAATATGGCGTTAACATCAATGGAGTCTTCCTGTCCTACTTACGGTTTGCAGACGACCTAGTATTCTTTGCTAACGATCTCCGGCGTATGCTGCAACAACTATATGATGATTCTATGTGGGTGGGCCTCAAGATGAATATGTACAAGACTAAGGTTATGGCGAACATTTCCAACGTCACAAATCCAAGTGTCACAGTTGGAAGTGAGATGTTGGAGATCGTCGATTAAGACGTATCTCGGGCATATTTTATCTTTTGGAAAGGAGCATCAAATGAAGGAGATCACCAGAAGAATTCAGCTTGGGTGGGCCGCGTTTGGCAAGTTGGACGACATTCTTAAGTCAGCTAAAATTCCACAATGTCTGAAGACTCGTCTACTATGACATACGGTGCCGAGACATGGACACTCACGCAGGAGGCTGTGTATAGGATGGGTTGCACCTCTGTGCAACACAGCTCTATGGCTCTCTAGCCATGGAGCGTGTCATGCTCGATAACAAGCTTATAGACCGTGTTACCAATGTCCAGATTCGAAGTCGAACTAAGGTAAAGGACGCGGGGAACCGCATCACGAAGCTAAAGTAGAGCTGGGCAGGGCACCTGATACGGAGACAAGATGACAGATGGAGTAAGGCGATAACTGAGTGGCGTCCAAGGACTGGATACAGGAACGTCGGGCGTCCAGCGGCGAGATGGGCGGGTGACATCGCAGGAATTGGGGGGCGAACCTGAATGAGATTAGCACGGTATCGTGGGGAGTGGCACAGAAACTTGGAGGCCTATACCCAGCAGTGGGTGAAGTCAGGCTATATATGATGATGATGATTACGTATTTATATCGATATAATATTATATTTTTCATTAATTCACTAACTGCAATCATATTAAATATTTGTTTTTAAAATATATTAAAAGCACTTAAAATGTTATATTTTCGACAGGTACCTTTAAAGAAGGTAACCAAAGTATTTAAAATTGCGTGTCCAAATTTATCATTACCTGGTTAATAATTAGGTATATTCACTACGTAATATTTTATCGGCAATATAAATTGAAAATTCCAGGACCCTTCTCTAACTCACGAAGTTATGGCGTCTTATTATACTGATATAATAAATCTGTATTATATATTACTCTGCACTAAAGAAAACAATAACTGAAATAGTTTCAGACATAAGTTTTTTCACTTACTTCGGTTCATCTTTCAAAAAACGAAAGAAACTCTCTTTTTATCCCGTTTAGATGATTATAAACAGCCGTACACAGCATAATTCACGACCATTATAAATAGTAACGTAAAATGATGTTATATATTAACGTACAAATTTCGTAATGAAAAATGAAACCTATATTCAAATAACAAAGCCGTCTTAGAGCGAAAACGGCTCGCCGACAGCCTTGTTCTCGTTCAGTCAATATGACCGTCAATGTGCGGGTCGTGACGCGGTATCTAAATCTAGGGAGGGGCGGAGAGTGTCCGTTCTCATTACTTATTTGTTCTCTGATTTTTAGATAGTGTGCTTATTCGATCATATTGCAAATAGAAGTGAATTAATAATTCAATTACAATATAAAGAATTTTACGCCTACTAAACAAGTCACGTTGCTTCGTCACATTATATTGGTATGGTCAAAAGGCATGAAGTTAAGCCATAAGAAACAAGCTGAGTTAATTAATTCATTGTTTCGTTTGCAGTTAATATGCTACAAGTAAATCCAAGAACGCTGAAGTTTCAGAGCATTATTGAAGCAATATATACAAGCAAAATAGTGCCAAGGAACGTGAAGAAGACTATATATTTTGCAGTTTACAATGCTTGAGGAACCTTCTAGACAGCTAAGATCATAATCTAATATTCAATCTGCAAAATTCAAATTAGCACTTTATGCAGTCGGTAACCCTAAAACTTCTGTTTTTGTTTCCGGCGACGATTCTTTTGCTAAACAAAAACCATCAAAAGGAGAAGATGGAGCATATTGTTCCACACTAGCAGAAAAATATAATATCTGCCTTGACACAACTAGCTTTAGAGTACCCGTTCAGTCCATCTGAAGAAGATGACTCTTGTCTTGAAAACCAAAAGCCATTGCAACAATTTTAGTAGCGATTATACTAATTCTGTTCGTACTCACGTCGACAATTTTTTTAACTGTACTACGTACGTAACTGTTTTTTCATTCTACTAACTGATTTTTACTAATAATTACTTAGAATTATAAATTTCATGCTCAGCACAATTGTTATGTATTTTATAATAAGTAATTTTTTGTTATATTAGTTATTTTTGGAATGTCGCGGTGAGGCACGAACTCATTAACTGTTTAGTTACTTACTGGTGTCTATTTTTAACACCATTTAATTTTATGCTGTACTTTAGGGTTTTATGCCTATAAAAATTTGTTATTCCAGTCCATCGTCTTATTCGTTCTAACATCTTTTCTGCTGATAAGATTTTGAAGTCAGGCTTGTTAAATCCATTTTCTTAAAATACTAAGTATATGCTCAGCGCAAATGTTTCCTCTTTCATAAGTAGTTATTTTATATTTAGGAGGGATCTCGTGTTGATTTTTTAGAATGCCTGGTTGAGACATGTCCCTGCGTACTTAATTACACTGTATGTGTTTAACATTTTATGTTAAAATTTTTATTTTGTGCCTATTATTCTAACGGAAAACGAGTATTCAACAATTGTTTACAATAATATTATAATTTACACGTGTACTGGTATTATATTGCCTAATAACCTTCATTATAAATAAAACAATATCCATCAAAATGACGTTACTCCTTAAAAGTTTGTGGGTAGCTACATTTGAAATAAATAGAAAAGTGACACTAAAGCTAAAAAAATAAAACTTTTAAAAATTTTATTAAGTGATTATTTTCAATTTAAATAATTTTATTGAGAAATAATATATATGAGTTATCAACATCAAAGTTTAAGCGATAAAAACAATACAAGATCATATATACTTTAATAAAAAATAAAAAACACTTTTGAAATTTTTAAACGCCGATTACTCAAAACTGTATTTTTTGTATAGTGTCACTAAACTTCTCAGCGTGCGATATGATTTTATTTCCAGATTTTGTTCGTGCCGTCACTTGATATTACAAAAACACACGCTTTGTCGCTGCTTCTTGCTGCCCCCGTCAGTCGCCATTATATACCCATAAGGTACATAATATACGCTTCCTGACACATAATTCGCGCCACCACGCATTTGCAGTATTAAGTGCCCTAACCTTAACAATGTTTGATTGATCAAAAACTATTATTCAATTTTGAAACTAGTGGGTATACTAAACGTCTTTTCCATAAGTCCTTGTTAGGAATTTAGATTTGCAAAACCGGGGAAAACTGTTTTCTTCGATGGTAACACTACTTTTGTATTCTAACCCTAGGCTCTGGACCTTTTGGAGGGAAAACTGTCGTTTTTATTTTGACTTTCAATTATTTTGTGAAATCTAGTTTAAAGTGGAATAGGATAGTGCTATTGTGCCTTAATCGAAGATTAAAACGCGAAATTATACGAATCTCGAACTAAATTACCCGTATCGGCCCGTTCTAAGGAATCCCGAGTCAATCCAAGCACGCCGCCTCAAATTGCCTATCCTCTTTGTGGCGGCCATATTTACAGAAAAACTGAAGGACTTTGTTTCCATGGCCAGAAATAAATTTAAAAAAAAATTCTAACCCTATTATAAGACAAAAATGCGAGGTAGCTCGAATTATGTGTCCGGGAGTATATACTCCTGGACACATGATCTATAAAATTTTTAATTTTATACGGTAAATTACTTTGAGATTGCTCGTCACTAACTTACTCGAAGCTTTAGGCTCAATTTATATTGCGGCGGAACGGAATGGAAGCGAATTTTTGTAACGATATTATACATAGCATAATGAACTTTATGGTCAATAGCGTAACGTACAAACTAGATACGAGCCAAAATCTTCCGCGAGATTCTCGCGCATGCTCGAGAATGCTCGCGATTCCGCGGTTTCCATTCCGCCGCAATATAATTTGAGCCTTAGACTACACGCAGAAATCGAAAAAATAAAAATGTAATGAGTTAGTTGCTCAAAAAGTCCGTGCAGTTTTTGCCACGAGCTAACTTAAAAGAAAAAAAAACTTTTTTCTTTTAAAATCTTATATTTTCTGTGGAATTTCAAAAATGATAATATTTCATAAAGGACGGAAAAGCTGTACAAGTGGTTAAATAAAAATAATTTTTATGACCTAAACGAAATATTTGACAGAAAATGAGATGTAAGATTCTATCTTGAAGATTATCATTCTTGACCAAATTAATTTGCAACTTGACACGTTTGTGACATTATTGTATTACTGAGTTGTGGTAGTCTGATCGACATTATACAACTAGACATTTGCACGCTATTTAATATATGCGAAACATGTTTGTACTGGTACTCTCTTGTAACATCTTCTGTTATACCATGTTATAAGCAAATAAACTAATTATTATTATAAATAAAGGGAAGGAACTGCCGTATCTACGGAATAAACGTCCCTACCTGACCCAAAAATGACTTATGAATAAACTACTTAAATTAGTCTAATTACATGAGATATTTAAGCTATTGTATGATTTATAGGCAGGAGAATAACACATGCCGATGTAATGTAACATTCGGTCGATTTCCGATTTTCTACTGCCGCACCCCTTAATGCTGCAGCGACGCATTTTATATCAATACTTAATTGTTCTCACTGTCAATATTTTTGTCCATTTCATTACAAGTCATGCGAATAATTCAATGAAACATTTGGCCAAACATTGGTGTTGACGTTTTGACATTTGATGTACTCCAAAAATGGTAAAATGAGGACAGTTGGCATTTAAGATGACGTTGCGTATTTTCGATTCCCGTATTTAACATAAATCAGTGTAGTGCTATTTCTTTTGGCTTACGACGGCACGCAGTAGTTAAACAAAGACAATAAAATGTTTATGTTATCAACGTCTAAATGCATCATATATACATAACGTCTAATTTATATATGTCAATGTAACATGGTTTCCATAGTCTAAGTAATGTTTTAGCTATCGCGCGTTTTCAGAACAGGCACGAAAGTTTTAATTTGAGTTTGAGATTAAAAACGCGCGGGACTGGTAAATCTTAAAGGTGTCATATTTCATAATGATAATGCCACTTCACAAACATCTTTACAAAGCCATTAAAATCGTAGTCAGGTTGGAAT